CCCATGGGGAATGTGGGAGCCAGGGCTCTCCACAGGGCAGCTAAGCCTCACAGTGGTACCTGGGGGCAGCAGTGCAGTTCCCTACAGCTAGCTTCCTCCACCCTTCTTGGGTGCACACATTCACAAGAAGAGAAAGATCTGAAGCTGTCCGTGAGATGGGCTGTGTTTCCCATCCCCAAGGGAAGAGACCCTATTGCCTGGTCTGTTAAGGAAAGGAGATAAGATGGCCAAGTAGAAGGAACTTGTCTTGGGAGTCATGACCACTTAGCATCTACATGAGCTGATGCAGAGACACCCCTCCACCCCCCCACCCCCCTGCCAAAGGGTCTTTAGGATTCACTGAGATGTTCCTGTGAAGTTCTGGCATACAGCTGGTCCCAAAGAAAAGAAGCCTCCTTTTTCTCCTCCTAGATCTTTCTTTGACAAACAGCAGCTGTCAGTGCTCCCCCGATATCTCAGGGAAGGAGCAGAAGTATGCAGTCACTTCCCACCCTAGCCCCACCCCAGCCCTTGCCAGGCATCACCCCTCCCACTGTGGCGCCAGAGAGCTTTGCCTCTGGTTTGGCTCCCTAGTCTAGTTGGAGGGACAGCCGTTGGCATCATTGAGCACCACCCCCAGCCAGACCAAACACTTCTAAACATCCCCCTGGACAGTGACACTGGCTTTGCACAGGGCATCAGGAAGCTGGGATGGGATGGGGTAGGGAGGTGGTTAGGAGCCAGTAAGAAAAAGGTAGAAAGCACTGCTTCATTCCTGTGTACTCATCAAGGACCATTGGTTGAGGCCCCCTCCTGTGGGTACCTGGTGATGCCAAGGGGCATCTGTGTCTATCTACAAGGTGGTCTCCATTTGTGTCAGGCCCAGGGTCCTCAGCTTCAGGCCTAGAAGTCCCCAACAGTGGGCAGCAGCTTCCTGCAGGAATACTATGGAAATCCCATAGGAACCAGTGGATAGCCAGGCAGCAGTTTCAGCCATTTCCACCCCCCTGCTAGCTTCCAGGGACATCTGGGGGCTGCTGATTCCAGGGATCCAGGGATTGGGACAGGAAGTTTTACTCAGCCCACTCAGGCCTGTGGCCAGATCTGTGCACCTCTTGCTTTCCAGCAGTAAACACTGCTGGCCTGCCCACACTGTCAGGTCCCCAGCCCCTAACTCCTCCCTACCCTCGGGACCTCCAGGCCCCATTTTGCAGCCAGGGCTCCAGGCCCCAGTGTAATGTGCTCCCTGCTGTGTGGTCCAGCCCTATGGGGCAGTTCCCAATTTCCTCCTTCCCACATCTGCAGCCCCAGGTCGGGTGGTGAGGCACAACACTGCACCATTTGCGAACGTGTTCCACAAAGTGTCGTGTGCTGGTAATTGATTATTAAGAAAATGCAGCTGACCTTCATGTGCTCAAGCCTAAGTCCTTGATAAGAAGAGGAATCGCCCTGTGTCTCCTACCTCCTATGTCTTCCCCTTTCCTTAGTGACATCCAGTGTGAAAAGAGAGGAGGGTCAAGTCTAATCCTATTGAAAAAGCCAACCTCAAGTCTCTCCATCCCTGGCTCCTATCCCCCTCTCTCCGTCACCTGTACCCTGGCCTGGAGTCAGTGACAGGGAGACTACAGCTGGAGGCACAGGAAACTGTGGGACCCGGGGAAGTCTAATCTGCCCCTTGGGCTCACAGCTGGGGTGCCGGTTGGTGGGGGGAAATGCAAGGGACACTGATTTGGAATCTGTACCATTACTGCACCACAAGGATAAGAAATCATCCATAAGTGTGGGGAGGAGTACATGAAAGGGAGCTGGGGCCCAAACTCATTCTCCCAACGAGACGCCTGAGGCAGAGTACATAGAAATCAGCACCCAGGATGACTCTGCCTTCTCGAAGCCAGACTGGATTTCTTCCCATCTTCATTGGAGATTTTCCCTATAATATTTTATTATGCAAGTGTCAAACACACAGCAAAGCTTGAGGATTGTACAGTGAACACCCAAATACCCACCATGTGGAGTTTCCATTTTACTGTACTCCTCTATCACATGGTTCTGTCCACCAGTCCATCTTAACCTGTTGATGCATTTCAGAGCTAGATGAAAACAGTACGTTTCCTTATTGGGGTTTTTAATTATAAAGGTAATACATGTGCAGATAAATTTAAAAATACATAAAAACAGTTTGCTTTTAGTCTTCTTTCCTCCACCATTAAAGCATCTATCCTCCCAGGAGTTTTTGGGCTTACACAAACAGAGGCACATGTGTATTTCAGTATGGCAGGAATCTGGTGCTTTAGGATATGGGATCATACACATTTACTGATCCGCCACTTGCCACACTTGGAGTCTCAGGTGAGAGGTAGACTGATGATGTGCCATCTGCTTTTTCTGTTCTTGTCACCCTTTCAGGTGAGCCTGTGAGTTAGCTTGATGTTAGCCAAAAATGACCGCAGGTTGTTGTGGCCTGGAAGCTGAGAGTGACTTCTCTCACAGCTCATATGTACAGAGACTTTAAAATGAGCTGGTCCTATCTTAGGCTTTTTCCTCAGCGTTCCTGCTAGGGAACTTGGGGGCACATTAGCCCTCTAGGCTGTGAAGAATCCTCATTTTCTGGGTCCCAGATGTTTTCCTTCCCACCAGAGTAATCAGGGAACACCCAGAAACAGCAGTGGAGGGGGCACCAAGTGGAGGATTTCAGACCCTGCATCACAAACCCCCAATTTAGGCAAGATGTTTGACTTTTCTGGCTTCTCCTGAAGGCAGATCCTCCTTTGCAAGATAGAAATAGCACATATGCCCTGCCTGGTGCATGAAATTGTGAGGCTGGATTGAACACACACACACACACACACACACACACACACACACACACAGTCTCAGTACCATTGGCAGTCCTCAGGAACAACTGAAATCTGTTAGTAGTGAGGAACTGATCCTGCTTCAAGCTTTCCTTTCTTCACATCCATAACCCCACCGTCTCAGAATTTCTCCTGTAGTTTAAGTTTAGGACCTTTTAGTTTTCTACCTTCTTGGATTCCAGTTGAATCTCTATCCCACATCTACCTCTATCATCCACATCTCTCCCCTCAACCCCAGATCCAGGCTCCAGTGGACTCTTGGAGGTTCCCATCAGCATGTCCCAATGGAGACACCTGGTCGACACTCCCACCCAACTCTGAACTCACTTCTCATACCTGTCTTCCTCTTCCTGGGCCCCCTCTCATAGTGATGAACCCCTGCCACTTGTCCAGCTGCCCTGGTCAGCCCATGCCATTGCTCCCTCCTTGCCCCCTGGGGCTAATGCAAGCCCTGAATCCTTCCCTCCTGCATTGCTGTGTTGGCCTGCAGAGTGGGCTCCACATCCCTGAGCTCTGCAGCCCATTCTCCAGTAGTCAACAGAGACTAGCTGTGATCAGAATGCATCTCCAGGGCCCCTCGGTGAACCAGATGAAGCCCAGGTACCACGACAGAGCACAAACTCATCCTGGGGGACTTGGTCTCACCTCCCACTGTGGCCCCACATCTCAGCACATGCTATGGCAAGCCTCCTGCTGTTCCATTTGAAATGCCCTTCCCTGAGCAGTCCCCACCCTGATAAAGGCAGCAGTCATACCCTCATACCTGGGCTTCTATGCATAAGGCTTCCTAGAAATTCCCATGCTGTTCATTTCCATTTTCTTGTCAGTTTCCCCTGTGAGACTAGAACTTCAATCCTGATACCGTGGCTTATCTACTGAGTTGCCAGTGTCCTAGAAATTTAATAAAGCGCTGCTGACTCAGCCATGGTGCTCTCCCATTCTGCTCTGGCTTTTCCAGCTGTGGCTGTGCTAAGGGCCTGGGGTGTGCAGTAGCTTCCTTCTATTCCTTTTTTGTGAGGCAGCTTTTTTTTCTTCTTTCTTGAATTGGGTTGTAGTAGCATTTAGGACCTTCACAATGTCATGCTGCTGCCATCTCTGTCTAGTTAACAAACATTTTCAAAAGAAAACCCCTCGCATGATTGTACTTTTATCTAAAGTATAGTACGGGGATGCCTGGGTGGCTCAGCGGTTGAGCACTTGCCTTCGACTCAGGGCATGATCCCGCTGTGCCGGGATTGAGTCCCACGTCGGGCTTCCTGCATGGAGCCTGCTTCTCCCTCTGCCTGTGTCTCTGCCTCTGTGTGTGTGTGTGTGTGTCTGTCATGAATAAATAAATAAAATCTTTAAAAAAAAATCTGTCAGGAGGGTAGATCTCATCATAAGTGTTCTTACCACCAAAAAAGTGGGAAAAGAAAACCCTTTTCCCGTCACAGAGTCTCTCTCCATCCCTCCTGCCCCAGCCCAGCCCTACTTCTCGTCTGAATTGGCCTATGCTGCACACTTCAGATAATGGAGTCGTCCAGTAGATGACTGTGTGTCTGGCTTCCCTCACTTAGCATGATGTTTTCCAAGGCTGTCCACACTGCAGCCTGCCTTGGTGCTCCCATCCTTTTGCATGGCTGAGTGATACTCTGCTGTATGGGTAGATCACGTCGGTTAATCCATTTAGGTGTTGGGGGCACTTGGGTTGTTTCCACCTGTTGCCTGTTGTGAATGATGCTGCTATGGACATGCATGCCCGAGCAGTTGCTGGAGCTCCTGCCTCTTCCATTCCCTCTTGCCTCGCATCCCATCGCAGTGCCTTGCCATACCCCATGCACCTGGTCCGTGTGTGTGTGTGTGTGTGTGTGTGTGTGTGTGTGTGTGTGTTTGGGGGAATGTATTCAGGGAAAGTTTGCCTCTGCTGAGTGCCTGTTCGCTTTCAAGCCCTTTTCACCCTCCATCCCCTGGCCACGTATTTGGTAATTAATCCCATTTTGTCTTCAGATAATTACTGTGTGGTGTGCCTGTCTTGTCTCTGCACTAAGGGCCTTCAGACCAAGGTACCCCTTGGGTTCTATTTCGCTTACAGAGCCTTGCCCGCTTCAGGTGACCCACGCAGTCCTGACCTGCTTTGTGTCACCTGTCTGCTGGCAACTGATCCTCTCCTCTGTCCTCCCTTTGCAGACGATGTGCTGACAAAAGACGCGGGGGAGTGTGTGATCTGCCTGGAGGAACTGCTTCAGGGGGACACGATAGCCAGGCTGCCCTGCCTGTGCATTTATCACAAAAGGTACGAAAGGGCCGCCAGGGCCAGCTCAGCCCCATCTGAGATCCCAGAGGGCTCCTTCCCTGAGGTGGGCAAGAGAAAGGCAGACCCTCATCACTAGCCGTCCAGTCCTCTTTGCTTGTGGGATGACCTCTCCTCCTGCCAAGGGCTCAAAGATCAAAGGTGTGAAAATGCCAAGTGCAGGGCAGAGCAGGTGTTTGGATAGTGAGGGCTGACAAGGAGACCTGTGGAGCGCCACAGGTTGGAGGCACTCAGTATCCCACCTGCAAGGTTGATTCTCCATCCATCTCCCTGAGCTTTTTCTTCTTCCATGGGCCCCTCTGCTCCACAGCGTGAGGACCTCATCTGTGCCAGAGGAGCAACATGGAGGGGTATGTAGGCTGCCCCTGCACCCGCGCCTTCTCCCCAGAGGGCCAGAGGCAGGAATAGCTGATACCTGTGCAGCCACGGCTCTAAAAGCTACTATAATTAGCAGGGCTGAGAGTCGTCCTCAGGCTCCAGTATGAGCCTTGTTCTTGTTTCCAGCTAGAAAGAAGACACCTCCTTACCCAAGATGGGAGGACACTCTGTGCCATCTGCTCTTGGCTTCTTGAGTCCCAGAGCTGCTTCTGACACACAGGCTTTTTCAAAGCCTGACTCACAGGGCTACTGGCCACGAGGCAGTTGTGGTGCCTGGCACACAGATGTAGCTGGTGCACGAGAGGCTGGCTCTGGAAGAGAGGGTCTTGGCCTGGGCCCAGCACAGATTGCTCTAGTGCCCCAGGGAGGCACCACTCAGAACAAGAAGATGGAAATCTTTGGCTCTGGGGGAGAATTATGTAAATTATCAAAAATACCCAGATGTTGGCTTACAAATCAGAAAGCTATATTGGGGCAATCTCTGTTCCCTTCTGGTTCAGATGGTCTTTCTATAAACACTAGAGACTAGGGTTTCACTGTCAGCCTCCTGTCTGGCCCTCCCCAGCAACGTCACTAAGCCAGAGAGGTGGTCCTGCCCTTCTCACCTTCTCCAAGAAAGGCTCCATGCCATCCACCACCCACAACTGACCAAGGCAGGTAGAGCTGGGCAGGGGGGGTGTCTCCTGAGAAGTCCCACCAGGGAGGAAGCCTCAGGGCTGCCCCTTTGATCAAAGAGGGGGCTCTCAAGACCCCAGAGCTTAGAGCAACAGTCAGCCTGCTGGGTCTCGGTTCCTGTCCTCTGTGTGCTTGAAACCGGAGACACGGTGGGCTTACTGGCCTGCTCCACTGTCCTGCCCTCACCTTCTCCCTGCTAGCTGTTGCCACCCTCTGGGCTCCATGCAGGCAAGACCCTGGTCCCTCTCAAGGCCACAGTCTCCCCCACCCCCTGCAGCATCCAGATCCACCCAATCCTGTACCCACCATGCCAGGCTGTTGCCTCAGGCTGAGCCAAGATCAGTCCTGGGGTTCTCCCTTCTTCCTGCTTCAAAAAGTGGGTGTCTGGGGACACAGTTGTTTTCCCCTGAGGTCCTCACAAGCAAGATTTAGCAAACCTCTACTCAGAAGCCTGACCTGGGAGAGCGCCCCCTAAGGAATGGCCTGGTCAGCCGGTAACAAATGTCTCCCCTTGCCCACCTCCCTGCCTCAGTTGCATAGATTCGTGGTTTGAAGTGAACAGATCTTGTCCAGAACATCCCGCTGACTGACCCTGCTGGGCTCGCTTGCTGACTCCTCTCAAAGGTGAGCCCATGGTTGGGGGGTGCTCCAGGCTCAAGGCCTGGAATCAGGTCACTCTGGGGCCTGGAAGATAGGGGGCTCAGTTGTCCTTACACACCCCACCAAGAGGGGAGCATCTTATCAGTTAGTGGTTCTGTTGGGGGAGGGGATGTGACTCCCTGGGAAGGATAGGAAATACAAACTCACATGGTTAAGAAGGAGAACCTGCTAAGCAGAATTAGATTAGTTGGGAACAGACCAGTATATTCCAGACATCTAAAATGAGTCTCTCCTAAAATGAGGTTCAGAAAGATCCCTTGGAATGTGCCAGGTAGGAGAAGCAGCAGCAGCACGAGCTCTGGGACCAGACACTGGGTTTGCACCCAGCTCTGCCTCATGGTTGAGGAGCAGCTCGAGCAAGTCCTGCCTCTCAGAGTCTCTGCTTCTTTTGGGCCAGGGAGATAATCTCACACCCTATACCCATATGGACATCCCACTTATTAAACAAGACAGCTGTGGGATGGTCTGTTGTCCTCTGCAGTGCTCATCAGTGATCATTTCACTGCTGGTTCTTCCCGCCTGCAAGCCACCTGCCTCTCTCTCTCACACATGCGCGCGTACACACACACCGCTTCCAGATGAATCACTGCAGCAGGCCAGCGCAACCTTCCACACCAAATATGCACACATGGTCCCCTATGTAACCATGTGGTCTGCCTTTCTATCTCTTCCCCAGGGAACCCTGCTTTTTTGCTGACCATCCTGTCCTGTCCCCCATCCTACCTGTCCCTTGTGAGTTCTGGGCTGGCACTTTGTTTTTTTCTGGCAAACAAACAAAAACCACAGAGAAACTAAAACCCCGACTCCACCTCATTTCACAAAGGTTTTGGGGCCTCTTTTCTTTTCTCTCTCTCTCTTTCTCTTGTTTTTGTGTGTTTGTTTTGTTTTCCTTTGTTCTTCATTAGGTTTATTTTATTTATTCCAAGTAAACTCCCAGAACAGCTGATGATGTCAGACAAATCAGGGACATTTGCTCTTTTTACCTTCCCCTCAAAAACTGAGGACACGGGGAGAAGAAAAAGCAAGGGTGAGAGTGAGGCAGAGGGACTAGGCCGGCGCCAGAGTGGGAGTCCAAATCCCGGCGTGACGTTTGGCTTCGGGCCCCAGCGCAGAACCACAGACACCCGGCCAGCCTCGGCGGGATGCACGCCGCTGGACTCGGCCACCACAGCGCGACTTACATGTTCCGGTCCACACAGGGACAGCCAGCCCCCGTTCCCAAGAGGAGGCATCGGACACGGGCAGAGCTGAGCTGGGGACGCCAGTGGGAACAGGGCACCCCTTCTGCACTGACTTCCAGAAAATGGTTCTCCCTTTCTCCCTGAGGACACCAAATTGGACGACAGCGAGTTTGAGAGAAGAATCAACTGCTATCCTTCCCCTCATCCCTCATCCCGAGAGGGAAGGGGCATTTACTTTTACACCTTTGAAAGGCGTTGTGGGTCTGTCTAAAGTGTTTACAAAAAAAAAAATTATAAAAAAAAGTCTAGTGTCGACTGGTGTTTTCCCTCGTGATGTTTACAGATTGCTGTCTGCTGCCCAGCTAGAACCCACTCGGTGATGGAGACGAGCAGGGCCATGCATTCTGCTGGCGCATGGTCTCCTCCTGCGCCTGCGTGGCGCCCTCCCATCAGCCCTCTATCACCAACTGCTCTGCCTTGGGTGGTTTGGTTTTTGTTTTGGGGTTTTTTGTTTTTGTTTTTTCAGTTATTTTCCCCCCTCCATTTTTTTGGCTTGGTTTTGCACTTTTCTCCCCTTGGGACCCTGATAATGTAACTTCATTGCCAAAAAAAAAAAAAAAACACCCCATCAAGGAGCTTCTCTTGTTTCCCTTTCCCTCTCCTCCTTCCCTCATGGTTCTGGTCGGTTCAGAGGATTTAACAATCACAAGTGTCCTGCAAAAATGCCGGAACATTTTTCTTAGACCCTTGTGGATTTTTTTTCCCCAGAAAAAACTTAAACAGACAAAAGACTTATTAAAGGAATATGTACAGTTATCCTTGTTTTCAGGCAGTCTGTTTGAGAACATTTTAGCCATCGATGTTCATAAGTGGCATCAGCCATGCAAGATAGGTTTCTGTATTTATATATTAAAATACAAAAAAAAAACCTTATAAAATGTTAAAAAAAATGTTCAAAGCTTGGGGGAAAAGCTTTCTTCATTAGTCAAGGTGTTTTGATATGGTATTAAAATGTCTAATAAAAGATGCACTGTGTGACTTTATTTTACTGAGGCATTGTTACACAATCAAGCAATGGAGGCTGAAGACCTGTCCCCCACTCCCTCACCTACCTCCTTAGCCTCCCTCCAGGCTGCTATTTGGCACTACAGGAGTGTGAAGTGGTCCTTAGAACAGCCCTGCCTGAGCAGAGGGAACCTGGCAGGTCCCACCCGAGTCCACGAGGGCGACTGACCCTCCAAAGCATCGCAGAGTCAGTCTGCCGTCACCTGTGGAGCAGTTGGGACAGAACTCCTCAGGAAAGATCTCCAGGGGCAGAAGACCTTGCGGCCAGTGGCGGCTGCAAGGGTGCGGCTTCTTCCAGGTATCGGCCCAGTCCCCGCCCTCCTCCTCAGCTCCCTATCCCACGTCCCGTCCTGCCCTGCCTGTTGCTCAGTCTGCATCTCAGTGCTGACTCATGGGCATGCTTCATTGAGGCCCAGAAGGAGGCCCTGCTTTGGGGCTGAGCCAGCTCAGAGCCCTTGAACTAGAACCAGCCACTCAGGGCTCACAAGAGTTGGCACACCTCGAGCTGGGCGGGAAGCTCAGAGCAGGGGTAGGACGCATGCCCGGCCTCTGTCCCTGTGCCAGACAGGCTCCTGGAGCAGCATTCCAGAGTCTCCTGCAGAGCCTGCAAAGGAAAGCTCTGGAGGGAGATGCCTCCAAGCTTCTCCAATCACACCCCTCCTCGAGCCTCATGTGCTGTTGCCTCTGAGGGCTCTAACTCCGCCAGGTCTTGGCTCTGCCATCATCTTCTGTCACATGCTTCCTGAAGCACCTACTCTGTGCAAGGGCAGTGCAGGCCAGTGGACAAATGTGAACCAAGGCCCAGGCTCGCTAGGCATGTTCAGAGAACTGCTAAAGAATTTGTGGGTCTGAGCCTGGGCCTTAGTGTCAGACCCAACTGGCATGGGGACTCCCCGGGGACCATCCGTCCTCATGGCGGCAAGAGCATGAGCTCTAAACTGCGTGTGGGTTCCTCTGGTAGAATGATGTGGGGGAGACAACTTCATTCTGGATTTCAGACTCAATCGCATGTGAGTAGGGACAAAGCCGCCCAGCTCTGAGGTCACCGGGAGGGTCAGGGAGTCTGCCCAGAAGCCCCTGGCACATGCAGAGCAGGCTTCCTCATAGTTCTGTCATCGCAGAGAGCACTGTTCTATTCACAGCACCTCCTGCTTCTGCCTGGCAACTGTGTCTCCCTGTTCTAAATTTAATTCCTCTAGCAGAACTGGCCCTGGAGATTTCCTTGCCTGACCCCTGGGCCTGGAGGCAGAGGCCTTTAAGACCACCTTGGTGGCTTAGGCCCGGTGGCCCTGGCAGCACCCTGGGTGAGCCAAGTGGGCCTGGAGGCAGTGGGGGGCAGGCTGGAGCCCACGCTGGGTGCTGGGTGCACTGGGCGCTATTCCAGGCTCCTGGGGCTGGTGCCTATCCCCACCCCCAACGACTTCCACTCCCACCCAGCACACAGCAGCCCTCTGCTGGCTGCAGCGTCCTCAGAATCCACCCGGGTTGCCGGCTCCTCAGGTGGGGGTGGTCAGGGTTTGTCCAGGCTTCCCAGGTAGGACTGGTCTGTCATTCATGCGCAATCCAGGCAGCTCTCCCAAGCTCTATCTTTCTGGGAGGGGAGGGAACCGGTAGGAACTGCAAGGTGGCTTCCATCCCCTCCCTCCACTAAGGACCCAGGACACTTTGGGGGCTTCCTGGGCAGAAGCACCTCACTGAGACCATTCACCTAGCAGCCATTTCACAGTGTTGAGGTTTTTCTAACATTGTTCGGCTTAGTAGATGCTAAATTCTATAGGTAAATGGTGTCAAGAAATGTGTAACTCAATTCCAGATGGTTCCCCAGAAAGTACACACACAAAGCAAATAAGGCAAAAATAGTCACTTGAATCTTCAAGGGCTGGTATTTCAGTGAACAGTGTGCTTGTTCTTTCAGCTCATCAAAGAAGAGTCATCCCCAGTAAGGGGAGAAACCTCCATTGCAGACTTCTCCCCTGGGCTCGGGGGCAAGGCAATCCATGTGGAGGCAGGGTGTGAGTGAGCTGTGTGTCCAGATGTATGAGGCTAACACTAGATCGGGTGGGTGGGTGGCTTGGGGAGAGCCAATGAGGCTTGCCCCCACACCACCGCTTGGCACAGAGACTGCTCTCACACAGCACGGGTAGAAATGTACTAAAGGGGCAAACTGGGCTCAGTCCAGGAGTAGCTTCCAAGAACCAAGTTTGGCTGAGAAGTCCCAGAAGGCAGCCTCTGCCCAGGGCCTGGAAGGCTGATGGGGAGAGGCAGGGAGGGGTCCAGAGGGTGGAGGCAGCAAAGGAGCTCAACCGTGGCTTGTAAGGGTGAGGTGAGCTGGGAAGGTCCCACCGGCCTCCCTGCTTTGATCAGGCCAAGGCCACGGGGCAAGGGAGACAAGCCCGCATGATAGGCTCCTGGGATGGAGTTTAAATGAGAGTTTCCGGGACCCTGAGCCTCCCCCACCCCAACCTTGGGAAGGTGGGAGGGAGGGAGGTGTCCCTGGGCAGAGCACTACAGGCCCCATCAGAGGTTGAGTCCTGAGCAGATCCTATGGTGTCGGGCGCCCTCTCGTGGGCTTCGGAACAACTGACCAGTGTGCAGGACAAGTGGTGGGGCCAGAGATCCTAAGGGTCAGGTAGGCCCAGGGGAGGGCAGATTCTGACTTTGAGGGTAAAAAGCTAGTAATATAATCCATCACACCAGGGAGAAGTAGAATACAAGGAGAAAATCTTCACTTCAAACTGGCAACAGCCACTTGAACATGTTCAGAACGCTCTTAGGCCCAGGCCAGGCTCAGTTGGGTAGTCTGTCATGAGGGATGTGGGCTATGGGCAAGGCCTCGGGCACTGGGGTTTTCACCAGCAGATGGGACAGGGACCCTGTCCCTGAAAGCCACTTTCTGTAGCCTAAGCCATACTGGGCCCCTCCCAGGCAGGGGAGGAGGGATGAGAGACAAGGACAAAAGACAGAGAACCTGACGGAGGTGGGGAGGGCAGGCACAGCAGGCCATTCAGTTACTGTCTGCTCACCCCCAGGCTGCTGCAAATGGGGTTCTGGTTTATTTCAGGGGCACAAGGAGACCCTCACCAGGAAAGGCATGTTCCTGTCACCAGGCAGGTGGAGTAGGGCTAAGGGAGCTGAGTCTCTGAGGCCTTGCAGGGAGGAAGCAGGGAGGACCAGACCAAGAGGAAGACCAAGAGGCCTTGCTTCTGAGGAAGCAGGGAGGACCAGACCAAGAGGAAGGCAGGTAAGGAGCCCAGCAGTTCTGAGCCAAGGCAGAACTGTCCTGTGACAAGAAGGAAGGTTCTAGAACAGGAGGTTCCGCTGTCTGGAGCTTGTGGGCCAAGTGCTGGGAGCCCCTCACAGCACCTTGCCTGGGTTCATGAGGCCTTGGGGATCCAGCATGGCCTTCAGCTGCCGCATGGTCTCCATGCCCACGGCACCCACCTCCTCCTGGAGTAGCTGCTGCTTGCCCAGCCCAATGCCATGTTCCCCGGTGCACGTCCCATGGAGTGCCAGTGCCCGCCTGGGCGGCAGTGAAGAGATCCTCAGCGGGGTGCTCCTCCCCACCCCCCACCCCACTCCCTGCCAAGGGTCCTGCTCTTACCTGCCCAGCTGTTCTCCAAAGGCCATGACCCTGCGGACCTCCTCGGTGTCCTCTGGGTCCACCAGCAGAATGCAGTGGAAATTGCCGTCACCCACGTGTCCAACGATGGTTCCTGGGGGCCCAGAGGACAGAGCTGCTGCCCCAGCCCTGCTGTCCTCCGCTTCCCCTCCCCTCCCGCGTTTGGGGGCGTGCAGACCTGTGAGTCCCGAGGCCTTCAGGTCCTCCTTGGTTTGCACCAGGATCTCCGGCAGCCGGGAGATGGGCACACACACGTCGGTGGAATAGCCCTAGGTGGGAGCAGGTCTGTGAGGCTGTCCCCGCTCGCCCCGTCACCAGCCGGAGGTAAGAGGTCATTGTGGTCAAGGCTAAGAGCAGCTCAGAGGAGGCCTGGCCTCACCCACAGAAACTAGCTGCTCTGCTCTGGGCCCGTTGCCCCTGGACAACCGGACAAATGGCGAGAGGGTGAGTTCCCAGACCCGCCCGCAGAGGCCCTCCCAGCTCCCACCTTGCAGGGACCCCGGGGGCCCCCTAGCTGCCCAGAGCCCAGTCAGCCTGACCCCTCCCACCTCATCATCTCCCTCGGGCCACCTCCACGTTCACAGCCCCTAGGAGCGTGCCCAGGCCCCGCTCAGGGCCGGCGCCCCTCCTGAGGGTTCCGCAGACAACCACCTTCCCGCTTAGTGCCTGGGAAGAGCTGGGCAGGGCAGTGCTGCCCGGTGGGTCTCCGCCTGCTGCTCCAGACAGCGGGGTGGTGGGGCTGGGGGGCCACCTCCGGCTCAGCCCGACTCACCTTGCAGCCGGGCCGCAGGGCCAGGGCCGCGTACCAGGCGCTGTGCCGTGCGGCCCACAGGCGGCGGCGCTCCTCAGCCTCCTTGGCCCAGGAGAAGAGGGAGGCTCCGTTGTGCCCAGCAATCTCCTCTGCAGGGGAGCAGGGTTTGTGGACCCGGGGCCTCACTCTGGCCAGCCTGCGCCCCCCACCCCATGGCACCCCAGCACACCTGCCCGCTGTATCTGCTCGGCCAGCGCCTGCTCGGAACCGTGGAACTCGAGGAAGAGGGTGGGCGCCACGGGGCAGTTCAGCTGGCTGTGCCTGTTGCAGGCATCCATCATGACCTCATCCAGAAACTCTGGGGCCAAGGAGAAGGCCGGGGAGGGGAGGCCCAGACTTCAAAGGCTGCCTCTTCCGGGGAGCCCACCTAGACTGCCCAGCCCCCAGCTCACCGATGCGGGCCACGGGCACTGCGGCTTGAAGGATGTGAACGGTGGTGTCTACAGCTGCCTGGACACTGGGAAACGCACAGGTGGCGGCCACCGTGGCCTCAGGGACAGGGTGCAGGCGCAGGGTGGCAGCTGTGATGAGTCCTAGTGTCCCCTCAGAGCCCACAAAGAGCCCCGTGAGGTTGTAGCCAGCAGCGCTCTTCCTGGACCCCGGGGACACAGAAGGTAGGTGAGTGCCCAGCCATGAGACGATGGGTTTCTAGCCATAAGCCTGAGCTGGAAGCCCAGCATGGTCCCCCAGGCCCCCGCCAGGCGGGGACTTGGCCGGCCTGCCATCGAGGCAGGTGTTTCCTTGCATAGCCCAAACTGGCCTGGTGTGGGAAGAACCCCCAAACCTTCAACGTCTCAGCCCCCTCAGAAGCCTGAGGAGGCCTCAGTTCCCGGGGGTGGAGGGTGCTCACCGGAAGTGACGGCCTAGGCCTGCAGTGTGAAGCAGCTGGCCGCCAGGCAGCACCACCTCCAGATTCAGCACGTTGTCACGCATCGTGCCATAGCGCACAGCGTTGGTGCCCGAGGCCCCGGTGGCCACCATGCCACAGAGAGAGGCATCTGCGCCTGGGTCTGGAGGGCAGAGTGCAGGCAGAAGGCAGCCTGGGGCAAGTGCCCAGAGATACAGGGGTCCCCTCAAGCCCCCAAAACAGCCCTGCCACCTGGGAGCCCTCAGGGCCCCAGAAAAGGGCCTGAAGTTCTAGCCTACCCACAGGAAACCAGAGGCCACTGTCCCGCAGGTAGGTGTTGAGAGCGTTGCGGGTGACGCCTGGCTCCACCACCACAGAGAAATCTTCTGGATTCAGCCTCAGGATTCGGTCCATATGGGTCAGGTTGATGCAGACACCACCCTGACAGGAAGGGCGCCAAGTTGCTGATTGATCTCCATCTTCCCAGGGCCAGGCCACATTCCATAGGACCCCATCTAGGGACTGACCTGGCGGCCAGTCTGGAGCCCCCAGGCGGCAGGTAAGGCAGGGTGGAGGCAGCCACAAATGTGACACATGGGAGGGGGCCAGAGCCCAAGCAGGACGGTGGGGGGATGCGGGGGAAGGGGGCGCTGCATACCTGCACCGCACAGACACCACCTTCAAGCCCCGTGCCAGTGCCAAATGGGATGATGGGCACTCCTTGGCTGTAGCACAGGGCTGCCAGCCGGCTGACCTGTTCCACATTCTGGGGCCACACCACGGCATCTGGAGGTTGGCACCTAGAACCAGACCCTCAGCAATTTCTGGGAGCGTAGCACCCTCTAGTCCTGCTCTTGTCTAAGGAGCCCCAAGATATCACAGGGCCTGAGGCTACAGGGCGGGGGAGGGATGGATGTGCAGGAGAGGTAGAGAATGCCAGAGCCCCCCTAAAACAGATGGGTGGGGGAGAAGACAGTCCAGGACTCTTACTCCCAGCAGCCCAGCCCCCCTGGCTCTGATGGGGGAGGGCCCCCACACCTGTGCATGGACTCATCGTGTCCGTGCTGCTCTCGGTGGGCGGCAGCTGTGGACACGTGAGAGCTCCCCACAACTGCCTTCAGAGCCTCCACAAAGCCTTTGCTGAGCTCACCCTGCAAAGGAAAAACACACTGCCAGTCACTCGGAGGCACCTGTGGCAGGTCCCGGAGTGGGGCAGGGAATGCAGGCACCTCTGTCCTCCCTGCCCCCCACTGACAACACCGGAGGGCCAGCGCAGCCAGGCCTCGCCACTGGGCCCACTGGAAGCAAACCCACTCTACAAGAATGCCCCTTTCCAAACAGAACCATCGAAGTCAGTGTTTCACTTGGGAAAACACACCACGTGGGTAAAAATAGGAACCAGATTCACTCTACAAAAAAGGAACATCCCAGGGTTCCATAACATAGCTAGCCCTGCCTTAGTGGCTTGGAAAGGTTACTTATCTCTGCATTTCCTCCAACACTGTCCCAGGGACACCAGGGAACACTGAGCTAGAGATAAAGGAAGGACGGGAAGGAAAAGCTCTGTTGCCAGTCAACTGAGGTGCACCCCATCCCCACCATCCTTACCTCCCGGGCATTGTTTCAAAATGTGTCTGTACATTTGGGATCCCCAAAGAGGGCGCCCTGGAGCCCACAAGCTTTTGATTTTACACCCCCCCCCAGCCCCATTTGTAGGCAGCGGGGTGGGTGGGGGGCCTAGGCCCGCCCATCTGACTCAACAACCCCTCCCCCCCGCTTGGCATGGAGTGAGCCCCGTGATCCTCTGCTCAAGGTCACAGGGCACTGGTACAGCAAGAGCCTGCTGGAAACTTGGCACCTGACCCCCCACCCTCCAGTGGGCCTCCTCCTACCTACCTGCGCCCCCCTGGAGCAGTAGCCCCTCCGGGGGAACAGCCCCAAAGTTGCAGCAGCCCGGAGCAGACTGGCCATCTCTCGGCAACAGCCAGAAGGCCACTGAGGCAGGTGGCCAAGTGGCCGCACCAGTGAATTGACTGGGAGGAGGGTGGGGAGGGCGGGATTGCTTAAGGTCGCACGGCCTTAAGGTGGCCCCACCAGACCTTGCGGAGTCAAGCATGGCAGCAGGCACGCGTCAGTACTTCTGCAGGAGAGGAGAGGCTCACCTCACACGCAGGGAAACAGCATAGCAGCCTCTCGCTGCCTTAACGCCCTGTGCTCTGCGGTGGCTTCCCTTGGTCTTTCAAAAGAAGGCAGGCTCCACGCCATGGCCGTAAAGGTCCTGTTGGGTCAGTTTAGGGCCTTGGCACACACCCTTCCTCTCTCTTATCCTGCAAGTGTCAGCTTGTCTCACAGCAGAGACTGAGAGCAGGACTCTGAGGTGGAAAGTGCATGGAGGGCAGCCCCCGTGGCGCAGCGGTTTAGCGCCGCCTGCGGCCCAGGGCGTGATCCTGGAGACCCTGGATGGAGTCGCACGTCAGGCTCTCTGTATGATGCCTGCTTCTCCCTCTGCCTGTGTCTCTGCCTCTCTCTCTCTGTCTCTATGAATAAATAAATAAAATCTAAAAAAAAAAAAAAAGGAAAGTGCATGGAGGCAACTTCGGGATGGGATGGAATAGGGTGGTGAGGCAAGCCAGGAAAGCTCCCTGGAAGAGGAGAGCTAAGGATGTGCAGTAGTTCACCAGCTCTGTGAAGAAGACGACAGCGGTCCCTTCATCTCCACCCTCCGGTTGGGTGGATTTCAGATCCATCCTGCAGTGATGTGGCTGCCGCTCTTGAAACTCTTCCAAGCTCCGTGTTCCCTCCACAGCAAATTTGGAGAAGCATGTTGCTAACATTACTAAGATAAAGCTATTCCCAGCTTTGTTTTTCTTCTCAATTGAATCACGAATACAAACTCCTACTTGGGTCCTTCTCCCCAACCACATTTGAATGAATTCACATTTCCATTCTCAGCGTGATGCTTAACTGGCTTGTCTCAAAAAAAAAAAAAAAAAGTCTCTTTCACAGTTGGTTAGTTCAAATCAACATCCAGTGAAAGTCCACACAATGCATTTGGTTAACATGTCTCATAAATCTCTTTTCATCTCTAGCAGTTTCCCTCCCCCCACCTCACTTTTTTCTATGCTATTTATTTGTTAAAGAAACTGGGTCACTTGTTCTGCAGAATTTTCCACATTCTGTATTTGGATGATTGCATCCATGTGGTATTGTTTAATATCTTCCTGTGGTCTCTGTATTTCATGTAAATTGTTAGATCAAGATGTGGCGCTGTCCAGTACAACTTTCTGTACTAATGGAAGTGTTCTGTATCTGTGCTTCCATTAGCCACATGTAGCTAATGGTACTGGAGGTATCTATGTTTGGAAGAGAGATGCCAGGGAGCATTTGTGGCAAACCCTAAAAGAAGAACCACAATGTAAATCCCTAAGGTTGGGGAGCAGGGTCGTGACATTTGTAACAGAGACTCTATACCATTCAGATAAGTGCCCCTAGCCCACTACTAGGTCCTGGTTACAATGGTGAGTGTGCCCACAAAGACCCACTCACTAAGGCTGATTGGGCTACTGCCGTCGCTGAGTGTTCACCCTACTGCATCACTGAATCCCCCACATAGTACCATTCCTCAGGGAGACCAGCCAGCCACTTGGTCACAAGTCAATTACATTAGACCTCTTCCACTCTGAAAGGGAAGAAGTTTGAAATCAACAAAACACATATTATGTGTATGGATTTGCCTCTCCTGCCTCCATGGCCTCAGCCAGCCCTACTGTCTAAAGGCTCACAGAGTATTTGATCCACTAACATAGTATACCACATAACATCACCTCAGGCCGAACAACCCCCTTTTTTTTTGGGGGGGGGGGGGTCAGGTCAGCGGCTACTGACCTTATAGAGCAACGGTCTTTGTAAGGTACAACTAAGGCACCAACTTGGAGATGCATCTACTCAACTGTAGTGCCAGAAGAGGAAGATATTTGGGATCCCTGGGTGGCGCAGCGGTTTGGCGCCTGCCTTTGGCCCAGGGCGCGATCCTGGAGACCCGGGATCGAATCCCACGTCGGGCTCCCGGTGCATGGAGCCTGCTTCTCCCCATGCCTGGGTCTCTGCCTCTCTCCCTCTCTCTGTGACTATCATAAATAAATAAAAGTTAAAAAAAATTAAAAAAAAAAGAGGAAGATATTTTTATATAACTAACAGATAAGATAAAAGGTGAGTATCGCAGCGGTTTGGTGCCTGCCTTTGGCCCAGGGCGCGATCCTGGAGGCCCGGGATCGAATCCCACGTCGGGCTCCGGTGCATGGAGCCTGCTTCTCCCTCTGCCTGTGTCTCTGCCTCTCTCTCTCTCTCTGTGACTATCATAAATAAATAAAAATTTAAAAAATTATTAAAAAAATAAAAAAATAAAAATTAAAAAAAAGGTGAGTATCAAAATTCTTTTCAACCGTTTTTGTTTTTGTTTTAAGATTTTATTTATTAATTCATGAGAGACAGAGAGAGAGAGAGAGAGAGAGAGAGAGAGAGAGAGAGAGCAGGCTCCCTGCAGGGAGCCTTATGTGGGACTTGATGATCCCAGAACTCCCGGATCATGCCCTGAGCCAAAGGCAGACATTCAACTGCTGAGCCACCCAGGCATCCCTCAACTTTTTATTTTGAAATAATTTTAGACTTTGAGACAAATTGCAAAAATAGTCCAGGGAATTCCTATATAGTCTTAACTTGTTTTTCACTAGTGTTTACATTATACATAACCATATGTATAGTTGTCAAAACTAGTAAAACATTCATCAATAGAGAATTGGTACATTACTGAACTACAAATTTGATTTCACCAGCTCTTCCACTAATGTCCTCTTGTTTGGGTGGACAGGGGTGTTGTTTGGTCCAGGATCTAATCCATCATCTCATACTACATTTAGTTGTCTTGATCTTTTGTTTCCTACAATCTGTAATAATTCCTTAGTCTTCCCTTGTCTTTCTGACCTTGACATTTTGAGAAATACTGGTCAGTTACTTTACTGAATGTTCTTCAATTTGGATTGAAGATATTTGATATTTCTTTTTTTGATATTTTATATTTGATATTTGATTCTGCTATTTCTTATGAGTAGACTGAGGTCATGCGTTTTTGGCAAGAATACCACAAAAGCAATGCACCCTTCTCAATATATATTATATCAGCAGTTTAAGACGTCAATATGTCTTATTAGTAGTGATGTTAACTTTGATCACTTGGTTTGTAGAGGCTGAGAAAATTAAAGCCATTCCTCTTTGAGTTCAGCGTTATCACAAGTGCAGCCATCCCAGGACCCTGTGAATAAGAGCTGAACTTTACCTTACTTCAGTTACAGGAAGAAAACAGCTTGCAGCTTAACGTCCTAGAAAGCCCCTATTAGAATGAGAACAGAGCCCAAGCCAAGGGCTGGAAGCCCCTATTAGAATAAGAACAGAGCTCAACGCCCTTGAAAGCCCCATATCATAATGTAAACTGAACTTGAGAAATTCCTCCACCTTTTCTGAAGATCCCCTAGACCAGCCTATAAAAACTAAGCAGAAACGCACCTGGGGTCCAAGTCCCTGCTCCGCTGTGTCGGGTACACTTGGACCCAAGCTCAAGCTTGTAAATAAACCCTCGTGTGTTTGCATCGGTGTTGGCTCCTTGGTGGTTTCTCGGATTCGCAATCTTGGACACAACAGGTTTAGGTCATGTCTGCGGGGTTTCTGCACAGTGAAGTTAATATTTTTCTCTTTTTTAAATTAATAAATATATTGGAGTAGATATTGAAGACTGTGCAAATATCCTGTTTCACCTCACTTTCATCTGCTATTAGCATCTAATGGTGGATCTTGCCTGCAATAGTTGTTATTGTGGTATTGTGTGTTCTAATGGTGATTTTCTACTTCTCTTATTCCTTCTATATTATTTAGTTAGAATTATTCTCTAGGGAAGAGCCATCCCTTCTGCCTTATTTATTTATTTACTTAGTCAATTATTTATATATTACCAATATGGATTCATGGATATTTATTTTATTCTATAGGTTATCATCTAATACCATCATTATTTTGTTGCTCTGTCAGTTCTGGCTCCGGCCACCGAGGCCTCTGTCTATGGGTTTCTCTGCCCTTTAGACTAGTCTGCACCTTTTTTTGAGCACTGTTTTACTTTCTAGTAAAACATCTAGCTCATCTTGTCTTTCCCCTGCTCAGACCAGTAACCAACCAAGTTTCCAAAGCTTCTTTTAGTGGAGAATAGTATTTAGAACTCGAGATTTGTGTGTTAAATGTGCTCCTAAATTCAACAATAAGAAAAGAAAAAATGTGATTAAAAATGGGCAAAAGATCTGAACAGACACTTCACCAAAGAAGACATACAGATGGAACATAAAAAGCACATGAAAAGATCCTCTACATCACCTGTCATCATAGAATTACAAGTTAAAATAAGATGCCACTATGCACCTATTAGAATGACCAAAAATAAATAAATAAATAATAACAACAAACCTGACATCAAATGCTGACAAGGACACAGAGTAACAGGAATTCTCATTCACTGCTGGTGGGAATGCAAAATGGTACAGTCACTTTGGAAGACAGTTTGACAGTTTCTTAAAAGCTAAACATAGTCTTACCATATGATCCAGCAATCATGTTCCTAAGTTCTTACCCAACTGAGTTGAAACGTATGTCCCTACAGAAGTCTGCACATGAATGTTTATAGCAGTTTTATTCATAGTCTCCAAAAACTAGAAACAACCAAGATGTCCATCCAAAGGTGAATGGTAAGCCAACCATAACCCATTAATACAAGGAAATACTTGTCAGCTACAAAAAGTCACAAAAAGACACAGAGGAATCTTTTTTTTTTTAATTTTTTTTTTATTTTTTTTTTTTATTTATGATAGTCACAGAGAGAGAGAGAGGCAGAGACACAGGCATGGGGAGAAGCAGGCTCCATGCACCGGGAGCCCGATATGGGATTCGATCCCAGGTCTCCAGGATCACGCCCTGGGCCAAAGGCAGGCGCCAAAC